TTTACTTACCTTGTTATGGAGAGAACTTCACCAACTCTTCCTTTCACTTGTTTAGCTTGACTTTTCCTCTAATCTAACCAAAAGAATGAAAACCCTCAAATACCAAAATGAACTAAAACTCACAAATCACCAACTTAAGGAGAAATCCTTGCCTTAGGAAGCCCTAGGTTGCTTTTCTACTCCAAATCACTTCAAAAACCCCTTGAAATTCCTTGATCAAAAGAGAATAGAAGTTGAGAGGAGTAAATGGAAAGTTGCGTTTGAAAAGAGAAATGAGGGGTTTTTTGATTCTATTCCTTTTAATGAAATATAACACACTCATTCCCATTTTGCCCTTACTCTTCTTTAGGAATTCCATCCATATCCTTTGATTCATTACAAACTCACCCCTATACAACATATTCTCCATGAAAATTCCTTACAATTAACTCCCCACTTTTCCTGCTAATTATGGGTAGAATGGTCAAATTGCCCTTAGGGAAGAAAATATCTAAAACTTCATCAACATTTTATTCGGTCTGTCGCCGCGGCGAAGAAACCTCTGTCGCCGCGGCGAAACTGTCCAGAGAGTTTCCTTGGTTTCAACACATCTTCGCCGCGGCGAAGATTCTCTTCGCCCCGGCGAAGCTTGTACACTAAACTTCTTCTATTTTTAACCAATTTCAGGGAAACATCAACACCACACTCAACAACAATATTACCAAAACCACTCAAATAAGAGCAAAAGAAGAGACAATACTACGTACCTCAAGTGGGGCGTTACATATCAAGAAATTTTCTGTTTGGTTTCTTAAATTGATTTAGTAACTGCAGTAATACGTACTGATGTCTCTTTATCTCCTCAGACTCCTACACACATATGTTTGATAACAGACTTTTCTCTGGTGAAGAGTTATTTGCTTTACTTGACAGGCAGCCTATGAAGTTATTTAAGAAGAATCTGCCAGGTACTTTCATCTGTTACCTCTGAAGGTATCTGATTATTTCTTGTTGAACGACTGAAACTCTGCTAAAGATATAATTTCAATACAACTAAAGCAAATCATTGAAGTATGTTTCTTTCAGATGACTGACCTAGAGAAAATTCAATTACTTTACATTTATTCTTGCTAGAGTTTGCTGGAGTTTGAGATTGGCTGTTTAATATTGTTTTCCTTTTCTTTTCTTTTATTTTTCTTTATGTCTGAGCTTATTCCAGATATCATGCCCTTGTTATGTTGTACGATCTTAATAATATCTAACAATTAGTACTTCTCCAGGTTTTATGCTGTAGAGGTTGTCATTGGCTTGGAATATCTTCAATGTTTAGGTATTTTAGCTGCTGAGAACTGTATCTGCTTTTTGTTCAGATAAATTCATTGTGTTATTGTTCCTGTATCATAACTTGGAAAAATATCAAGTTATTTATGTGACTTCGTCACTGAACAGTAATCATCTTTGTTTAAGTATTAGGAAAATGTCAGAGTCCATATTTTCATTGGATTTTAACAAAAATATTTTGCATCATTGTAAAAAGGAAGTGAGAGAGATGTCTCCAATGGCTTTTAGAAGAAAATCTGTGCATGAGAAGTTTTGTTGTAAAGTTAGTAGGAGATATCAGCTAATGATGGAAGTGAGAGACATGTTCTCCAATGGCTTTAAGATAAGAAATTAGTTGGCTGCAATCCAATAATTTTTTATAACTATTCATGTCATTAATCTTTTGTTTTTTCTATTTTGTTGGTGATGACCTTGCAGGAATAATTTGTCGAGACTTGAAACCTGAAAAGATTTTACTCTAGAAAGATGGGCATATAGTATTAAATGACTTTGATTTATCATTCATGACGTCCTGCAAACCCTAAGTATGTTACCACGTTCCTGTAATGTTTATATTTTCATTAGGATATGCAATTTGTCTGTTCCTAAGTTGTGTTCCCTGAGCATGGATAATATGAGTTAGCTCAATTTATCAACTGTTTGTTGGAGGGTGTTCAACTACTTTTTCTTGTCCCTGGTATGCATGAAAAAGATGATTTTCCTTCAGGAAGGTGTTCGATAGCAAGACGAACACTTCCTTTTAGTTATACCGGTTAAATTGCATGATTTGTAGTGTACTACCTATTTATAGCTTTTGAGGTTTCTCAAAGGTGTACAAAGTCTATGAAATAAATCCTGCCCATGCCAGGGTTGGAAGGTTTATGTTAGTTGGATTAAAGTGGTAAAAAAATAACTATCTTTATATAGTCATTCTTTCTCCGGCGTTGCAAGGTTATGAAAAGGATTCCTTAATCTCTTGTCACCACAGAATGTGCTTTGTCATGTCTACACACAGAATTTGCAAACATTACATCTTTCGGAATTTCCATCTACTTTGATACTTATCAAATGCTTAGAATGGGAACTATGACTACCTTACAGGCTGTAAATTTTACTACTTCTGCAGATTATTAAGCATCCACTGCCTAATAATAGGAGAGCTCAGGAATCAGCCACTGCCAACATTTTTGGCAGAACCAGTTACAGTGTCAAATTCATTTGTGGGAACTGAAGAGTACATTGCTCCTGTTAGAGATTCATTTTTCCCAGAGCTTATGCATTTCATGCTATTTGTGATATTCGTAGCTTGTTAATGTCCATTTGCTTCATCTGAAATGGAAGGTTTAGATAATATTTGCTGCATGAAAACTTTTTGTCTAATTTGGTTTTTGAAATTCTAGCTAATAGATATTAACTGTTCTTTGATGCTCTTGTTTGTTTCTACAATCTGTATTATCATGTATTAATATTTGTTATTCGATTTTAGGAAATATTACAGGTGCTGGCCACACAGTGCTATTGATTGGTGGGCTCTTGGTAGCACCCACTGAAGCTGAATACATGATATCAGATCGTTTTGTGTTTCCTCTTCTTGTTATTCTTTTAAATGATATGCTTCAAAAATAATAGTTTTAGATTCATCTTACTTCTAGATGTGGGAATTTACATATTACTAGCTTATATTATGCTTTGAATTCATTTTATGTCTGGTATGCAGGTATTTTTGTATGAGATGCTCTACGGTTGTACACCTTTCAGAGGTAAAAATAGACAGAAGACATTTGCCAACATTTGCACAAAGACCTCACTTTCCCAATAGCATTCCGGTAAAAATCTGCCTGCTTTTAAGTCGGTTAAAATAATTCTCTTGTTATTCTGTGAGTCAGTGGATATTCTATACATGCTCAGGATCTTAAGGTTTGGTCAAAATATGGATAATCTCTTGAACTTAATTGTGAATAGTTAACAATGGAGAACATTAACAAGTGAGTATAACCAAAAACTTCTTTTGGAAAGGTAGCGGATACCTTCCTGAGAACATCATGGCTACAAAGTATATTGGGTCTAAATTTTCACTGCCTTTGATGAAATGTGTACCAGCTATAAGTTTTAACTGGCTCGGAGATGTCAACATGAATTAGAATATTGATGATGATGAACTGGGCTTCTCTTCATTGAACTTGCAAAATTAGATCCATTTGGGCAGAACATTTTGGTTTCATGAGATGGCCAGGCAACTGATGTTAATTTGCTTGATGTTTCATTCCAGGTCAGTCTTGTAGGTAGGCAGCTGCTTAATTTGTTATTAAACGAGATCCCACAGATCGTTTAGGATCAAATAGTGGTGCCAATGAAATTAAACAACATCCTTCTTCCGCGAATCAATTGGCCTCTGATTCGCACCATGGTAGGAGAGGACTACTTGCATTTTACCATATTGAATTCTCAAACAGCAAATGATTTAATATCGATGTTTCTCTGCCTATGCAAGCCCGCCTCCACTAGATGCACCTCCTAAGTTAATTGAAAAAGATCTGAAAGCCAAAGATGTAAAAGGGAAGATATGGAGTGCTTGTTAATCCTGTAGATTTGACCTTTTCTAAAGGTTTGGATTAACAACCATTTATAATGTTAAACATAGACTTCAGATTGACTCTGCTCTGCACTCCCTTATTGCTGATTCAGTTTTCTCTTATCATATGACCAAAAATGGGATACAGGCAATGAAGATGAGATGGAGGAGGTTCCGTCATCGTGCATGTCATCCTAAACCTAAAGTAAAGCATGTAGGTTGTTTTTATTTGATTTCTGAGGAGAATTAAGACTTTGCCCTATATTTAACCATGTAATATAACTCAACACTTCCCATCTCTCCCATTCTTTTTGAGACTCTGCTATGGCGTAGTTGTAGATATCCAGCTTTGTTTCATTTTGTGATTCTCTATGGCGTAGTGTAGATATCAAACTTCTGCCTAACCAGTGAACAAAGTGTTATAAATAAAGCTCAATTCGCTATTCTCTCTGTCAGCTCACAGATGCACAATCTAATCTTGAACCATGCATAACAGGTCAAGCATTTCAGTTCCTATAAAAAATAAATTTTCCATTCCTCAAATTGTGAAATGTATAACTTACAAATTCTCACCCTCTACACTACCCTACTTGCCATTAACTTACAACACCATTGCTGTCAAAATCTGCTCTTAATCAAAGTGGTATCTTTGGTAATTTAAGTATATAAGAGACAATCATTCAAAAAGAACATGTAATATATCCAGAATATAGCAAAATCACACCACTAACAAAACATACCATTGCTTTGCAAATTACAGCATAAAATGCAGGATAATGTTGCAGTCGTATAGTGTCTTTACACGAAAAGGCTTGGATCAGCTGTATAGACGCATTAGCCAAATTTATCACACTGTTAACACGCAAATCTGATGAGCAACCAAGTATACAATTCTTGCGAGATCCTTATGTTACCCTACTTGGTGGCCTGTGCGATTATATTACTTATTGAACCAGCCTGTTCTTTTGCAGTCTCCACCAATGAGTCCTACAACATAAAAAAAAAATTATACTGAAAAATTAAAAAATTATGAAAAACTGACAACCAAAACCCACTGTGACCAAGAAAAAGAAATTATACCTGAGCAGCTATTAGACGTGCAACTGTTTTCTTGTTAGACTCTTGAAGTTCACCCATGCAATATAAACTGATCTACATTAGATAAGCAAGAGGGCATTAAATTAATAAGGTATTTTGGGCAGTCACTTATTGCATCAATCACCATTTTGATATTAAAAAACCCTTTCAGAAAGGAAAATCCCAATTGCAAAACAAGTCCGTTGCACCATACCTTGTGAAAGTTGAAGATCAAGTCCAGCTCATAGACCTGGAAGCAAAATTAGATAACCACAAACGTCAGTTTCTATACCAATCAAATGGAAATATACACTTTAATGCACTTAGTGATCTTATACAAAGTAAAGTCAGCTTCACTCACACTTCCAAAGTATCTGTCAAGAATCTCAACATAATGATGAATTATTTCAAGGACCTTTAATTCATTGTCATCCTGATCAATGCACATGCAGAAGTATAGACTAGCATATCTGTAAAACATATTCATTGGAACCAACTCAGTTGATCATCTCTATGATGGCAAAACATATTCATTGATTCACAAATACTGTCATATATGCATATACCTTTTATAAACAACTTTGTATCCTCTCCATTCCACAAAATTACAGAGCTTGGGTCCTTGTGAAAGAATGACTCCACTGAGCTCACGAATAACCTTCTCAGACAAAGCAGCAGTTCAAACAAATCATCAATGTAACCACAGCTGTTACAATAAGTTGAGGAAATGATACCACGACGATCATTTATCCAACACAAGGCAGGTCCTTTGAAAATAAAATTAATAATTAAGATCTAAAGAGAGAATATCTGAGCGGCATGGATTTAAAACCATATCTTAGTTCGTTCCTTTTGTGAATAAGGAGAATACCATTTAGTCAACCAGACTTTTCCTTGTCTGCTAATAAGAAGCACAAATTGAATCTGAAACATATTAAAGATAAAAAATTGTAGAACATCAGCAAAGTAAAACCATTAATCTTCATTTGGCATTGGCAACATAAAATGAACAAGATTTAATAAATCAGAGTTGTCGGACATAGCACAACCTAAATGATTGTGGCATATCCAATCAATAACTTGTAAATGAATACACATCATTTCAATCATTATTTTGAAAGCTATTATTGGCAATGGTTCAAGCCCTCAACCAAGCTAAACAGCCTTAATCTCAACATCCAAGGTTGCTCTTCGACACATGTCAACTTTATAACACACTATCAAATTCTTAGCAATCAAAACATGTTCCTTAAATCCATGATTTATTTCCCTCAACATCCATTGCCATTTCCAGAAAATTTTGATACGGTTTCTGTTTGTAGTCAACTTAAGCCAAGCTGTGAGAAAATGACATAAAACATGGGTAATTTTCCAAGATAAGCCAAATGCTTAGTATTGGTAAGCTAGTTCGAGCTTAAATTTCACCATTCTGACATACAAAGACTCCATGCTAACTAGTTTTCTATCAAATGCTTCCATATCCCTCTAATACAATTATTCAAAATTTCGTCTTCCTAACTTTCTATTTAAAAACAAGGTAGTTCAAGAATGAATAACCCACATGGGCAGGTCTCAGAACTTCGCAATAAATTGTTAAACTAATATAACTTTGTCGGCTGAAGACCAATTGAAATTCATAAAACTATTATTCTACACCATACGCTTCAATGATCTTTAATTCAAGATCTTAGCTAGGTTGATACATATATAATTAATGTACTTGACAATAAATATCACTAAAATTAGCAAACTTGCACGTTCAGAGAGCAACGAATCCTCTATTAAGCTAATGAAATCAACAAACAACGACAATACAAATTTCACATACCATGGTTTTCCGACTATATTGACAATACAAATTATTTACCACATTCAAATATGCTTGTTTCTGAGATCCTTACTAATGTTTACAATATGCTGACTTTACATCCTGCAAAAAGTTCATATGTTCTTGCTTTTACAAATGATTTTTGATAACTTACAAGTATTTTCATTATTATAAGTCTTTCAACATTAATTAAATCTCTCATAACCATTTCTTCACTATTTATTTATCACAATGATTTGATATATTACTGAAGGCCAAAACCAAGCTATTCTTTGAGCAATTTCATTCCAAGCTTGTTACAAATGTATCCGATTCGGGAACCTCTAAGAGACTTAGTAAGAACATCTGCTAGCTAGTTGATAAGTTGCACAATTTGAGTGTTTTAAGGGTTGTTTTGATGTTAGTTTAGTTAACTTCTCATTTGTTTCCTTTGTTTTGATGTTTGTTTTTGTTAAGTTTGAGATATGAATGGTTACCTATTGATTTGGATAACTTTTGTGTTTTTTTTTTTAGGCTTTGATTGAGTAGATTGTATTGGAATGAAATTGGGACTTAAAGCTTGAAAAAGTTGAGATTACTTAACATTCTTGAAGGCCACGGCCATGCCTTGGTAGTTCACCATGGCCATGGTGGTGGAACAAAGAGAAAACAAAGAGACCAAGAAACAGCACGGCCTAGGCTGTGGTGACTTAAATTTGGCCACGACCAGGGTTGTGGCGGAAACTATTAGGGCGTTTTTATCAGTTTTTCTTTCCTTTTTCACTTAGGACTCTTTTGGGTATTTAGGTATAATTGAGATCAGTTGTCAAGGGACAAATTTTGCATATTTTTTAGAGGAGAATACGCATTCTTGAGGCTTGAAGACTGAATATCAGATTTAAGAGTTTGATTTTTATTTATTTTCAAGTCTGAATATGTTTTCCTTCTTCTCTATTTATTTCTTTGTTCTTAGGATGGAGTAAATCTCTTTTGTTAGGGGAGGATGAAACCCTAATTATGTTTTGAACAATTTTTATTCTTAATACTAGATTTATGTTTATGAATTTGTGCAAGAGTTTAGGTTTAATGCTTTATGAATGTTGGATTGATTCAATTACCTTAATGATGTTTCAAATAGAGAAGTTAAGGTTTATTGCTTAATTCATAGTCATAATTGTTTTATTGGAATAACATTGCACAACATATTAAAACTAAAAGTAATCAAATAGAGATTCTAGGATTAATTTGTGGTCCACCTAATTCATAACCGAATAGGGCGAATTAGTAGCAAAGGATTGATGAATTTATGCTTCTTAATTTCAGAGTAACTGAATAGGAATCTGTATTAAGTTGAATATTATTCCTAAATAATGATAATTGGCCTTAGAAGAATCCTACCAATTCATAGCACAAACGGGTATTAAAAGTAGTTGTCAAGCACAGTTAGGGGGAAATCTGTGCCCTAACTTCATTAATACTGCAAAGTTCTTCACATTGTTTATTTGTTTAATTTAGTTATTTTTAATCTGTTACTTTTACACTCTAAGATTTCGTTTTCTCAAATAACATGAAGGTAGTTTTAAGCAATTACAAATATTCACTTTGATCTCTGTAGGACGATACTCAAACTCATCACTTTATTATTTGAACATGAGTCGTGCACTTGCTAAGGTTGATTTAGTCGCATCACTGGTCATTTGAGTTGACAAAACTGGTGACAATGCATCCGGATTCAATCTTCTATCAGATAAAATGACAATCAACCTCTATATGCTTTGTTCTTTTTTGAAAGACTGGATTTGAGGCAATATGCAGAGCAGCTTGATTGTCGCATATTAGTTTCATCTGCTTCACTTCACTACACCCAAATTCTTGAAGAAGTTGTTTCAACTAGATGAGCTCACAAGTCGCGAGAGCCATAGCCTGATATTCTGCCTCTGCACTTGATCTAGCTACTACATATTGCTTCTTACCCTTCCAAGATATTAGATTACCTTCAATCATGATATAGTATCTAGAAATAGATCGTCTATCTAATGTAGACCCTGCCCAATCAGCATCAGAATAGCCAACAATTTGAGAATGACCCTTATTTTCATATATCAAGCCTTGTCTTGGAGCTCCTTTAATATATTTGAGAATGTGAACTATTGCATCCCAATGACCACTACATGGGGCCTGGAGAAATTGGCTAACCACACTAACTGCAAAAGAGATATCTGGTCTAATGATCGTGAGATAATTCAGCTTACCAACCAATTTTGGATACCTTGCATGGTCTTCTAATGGCTCCCCCTGTCCAGGAACAAGTTTGACATTGGGATCCATAGGAGAATCTACAGGCTTACAGTCTAACATACTTGTCTCCTCAAGAATGTCCAAGGCATACTTTCTTTGTGATATAGCAACACCAGCCTTAGACTGTGCTACCTCAATCCCCAGAAAATACTTTAGCTTCCCCCAGTCCTTGGTTTAAAAGTGGCTAAATAGATGCTGCTTTAGTTGAGAAATCCCATCTTGGTCATTACCTGTTGTGACAATGTCATCAACATAGACAACCAAGTATATAAATTTACCATGATCATTACGACGGAAAAATATTGAATGATCAGTTGTACTTCACGACATCCCAAACTGTTGAATCACAGAATTGAACCGTTCAAACCATGTTGTAGGTGACTGCTTGAGACCATATAAAGACCGGCATAGACAACACACCAATCCTGACTGCCCCTGAGTGATAACCCCTGGCGGTTGCTCCATATACATTTCCTCGGCAAGTTTACCAAGCAAGAAGGCATTTTTAATATCCAACTGATGAAGAGGCCATTGATACATGGCTGCTAAAAAGATAAGGAGGCATACCAAAGTAATCTTAGCAATAGGAGAGAAGGTATCACTATAGTCGAGCCCATAGATCTGAGTGTACCCCTTTGCAACAAGGCGAGCCTTCAGTTGATCAACTTTGCCATCAGGACCAATCTTAACAGTGTGAACCCAACAACACCCAACAACAATCTTGCCTGGTAGTAAGGAAACCAACTCCCAAGTACCATTATGATCGAGAGCAGTCATCTCCTCAATCATGGTAGCTCTCCACCCTGGATGTGCCATTTCCTCGCTAACAATGTTAAGTATAGGGATAGAAGACAAGTTTGACATAAAGGCAGAATAAAATGGAGATAAACTATCATAACTAAGAAAATTATAAATAGGATGTAGGTTTCGAGAAGATCGAATAACTTTGCGAAGGGCAAGTGGAGGAGTTGCCTTGTCTACAAGAGACATGACCGGAGCAGGCGACAGAGGAATAGGAGATGGGTCATCAGGATTGACCGAGGTACCTATATCAAGAAGGGAAGTACCATTGGGATTAGTAGGAGGACAAGGACGACGAGAATAAACTTGGAGAGGAGGACAATCCATCGACGAGGAAGGAGGGATGGGGATAGGTAAGGTGGCAGGGATAAGATTGCTATTGACGGTGTTTACAGAAAAGTATGGAGATGTCTCAAAGAAAGTTACATCTACAGAAACAAAATATTTGTTGGTGGTTGGGTCATAGCAACGGTAACCTTTCTAGAGACGAGAATATCCTAAGAAGATACACTTAAAAGATTTAGGCTGTAATTTGTCTTTGCCTGGAGTGTGATCATGAACAAAGCAAATGTAACCAAACACCCGTAAATGTATTAGGTACTTTACCAAGAAATAGAATAGAGTGAGGACTCTTATGTTGCAAGACAGAAGAAGGCATACGGTTAATCAAGTAATAGGCAGTGAGAACTTCATTCCCCCAAAATCAAAGAGGAACATGATGATGTATAAGTAAGGTATGGGTTGTTTCAATAAGATGCAGACTTTGCGTTCGG